AATTTTCATTTGTTATCTTTTTACCCAGTGACACAAACAATGCGACTTGAAATATGTCAAAATAAGCCATGCTTTTTACTGCTACTGCCTTCAGTTGATGCGATTGCTAACCTGGGAATGCTAAATAGTGGAAGCAATTTCAAAACCCATTTCCTCCAACCATTATCTGCAATCTATGTCTGAAGTGGAACACTAAAATATATCAATATATTAATTTGGCAGGATCAAGCAAATAGGAGAGAGAAGTCAAATTTGAAAAGGGAATAATGGAGGCGGAAGCCAATCCGAATTTAGTGCTTACTCAAACCAAGATAATTGCGTTGATATTTGAGAGATCCTTTAATATGACAGGATTCGCAGGTGTTTTATAATTTCACTGCTCAGAGGAAGAAGCGTAAGAAGAACAGTGTGTTCATGCCAGGAGGTGGCCTGCACCATGCCACGGTGTCGGCGCAAAATGCTAAGACCAAAGGCGAGTCCATTAAGACAGACATTGGCCTTGAGGGAATGAAGAATGAAAAAAACGGCCACTTAATTGGCATTTCATTTGGTGAGTGCTGTAACCTGCATTTCAGAGTCATGTTTTGCTTCCACGTCACATGATTTCAATCCACTGGCATTAAATCTAACTGACCTCTCACATTATATTTCTCTTGAACTCTCATGACATGCATTTCACTGACAACCCATGGTAAGTACTAATGGCTGTACATCGTGGTTTTACTCATGAATCTATCTTTTAGTGATGAAAGTAATTTCTTGAAGGTTTTTTTTTTCCCCCACACCAAAATATTCCTCACTTTTATGGTAAGTGTGCTATTTCTATTTTCACTGCATTCGGCAAACACTGTCGTTGTGTCGACTGCAAGTTTTCAATAAGAGTTGGTGTCTGCTGCAGTGAGTCACGGTGGATGAAAGCTGAGCCAGTTTAAGATGGAGTGCCTCATATGACACATACTGGTCATAAATTTAAAAATTGCTGAAGTTGCGCCAAATCCCTCGATGTAACAAATTGGTCAATTTAATATTTTTCACAAATCTGTATTTTTGGCGGGTGTCATTTTTACATATTATTGGCCAATTGAAAGTGTTGAAAATGGCTTGCGCTCATTGACGATGCAATGTTAATGGTTGAACAAATTGCCGTTGTGGGGGTCTCCTGAAAAGTGATCATTTGGAGGTACAAGGATTCCACCTGATGCCAGCGATATGTAAATGACATTTACATTTAGATTGTGTTGTCACTGAATGTACATGTAACTCAAACGGAATTGATTTTTACAGTAGCCGTTCGGTGGCTAGGAATTAATCCATCTGTGGACGTTCAATAAAATGGCATCTCATTTATCGGGCCACAATTATTTTTTACCGCAAACCTGTTTATAATAAAACATGCTTTAAGTATTTATTTTGAACAAAAACATCATTCATATCTTAAATATGTTTTACTGTAAACACTTATCGCTGGATCGTGGGGGTGTGGAAATGGATTTGTGCGTGGATCAATGTTCCCTCTAAATCTCAATGCGTGCTGAGCATTAACACAAATTTCACGAGCATTCCTTGGAGCACGGTGACCAACATCAGACATGCACACGTCTCCCACTCAACCGGTACCACACCTGTTCAAACACTGAGATCCTAATTTACATGATACTGTATTGGTATATTATGAAAAGAAACTATAAACCAAACCAAACCAACTATATGTCAAGATACAACATATCATTGAATCGAGATTTGTGACACAAATAAAATTAGCCCCGGTTTGTCTGTTTTATTTGAGCACATAGGGCATATTAAGCATAATTAAATTCCAATAAAATCTGTCTAAATATTGTCCACTCATAAATAATGGAAAAGATGCTATTCAATAAAACATAAACATTTCTAGCCACCTGACTCCTGAAACATGCGAAAGAGCTTCATTTAAGGGGCCGGTTTAAACTCTCTGGAGGAGCAGATGGAGCAATCTGCTTCATCTGCAGCGTCTCGTCACTAGTGAGGGTGAGTTGTGTCAATGTATGCCTCAAACCATAGTAGAACAACTGAGTGTGCATCCTCTGGCGTGCTACTGATACTGAAACTGTAAGGGAAGTGGGAATGGTGTGGTGTCCTGTTTGTAGCTTAAACTAGTGTTGAACTTGAGGAATGTGTGTGTGTGTGTGTGTGTGTGTGTGTGTGTGTGTGTGTGTGTGTGTGTGTGTGTGTGTGTGTGTGATGCGCGCCAGCATCGCAGTTTGCGCTGAGAGTGTGAGAGCAGTACGCAATTGCTCATATGCGCAAATTAGAGGGCTGGGGGATGTCGCCACAGTCTGCAAACCTCACCTTGCATTCCAGTATCAGATATTTAAACGTAATGTATGATACACCGCTGAAGCCACGTGATTTTTTTTTTTTTTTTTAGCAATGGCTATTTGCAAAGAATGACTCTAATAATAGCCCCATAATGCATATCAATGCTAGCAATAACGTGAAAATTAACAACTTCAAAATGTGCATAGCATTGTGTTTTTGAAGTCGGAATTTTGAATTTCAAAACAGTGAAATGACTGCCTCAAGGTTTCATTGTGATGTGAACAGATGTGGCTGTTGAATTGTTGTTGGGCCAAAGTGAATCACGGTCAAACCCAAATTTGATGGTTCAACAATCAGCCTTGTAGGCTTTCCTCTGGTCATAACACTGTGCGTGCTGTGCGCATGTGCCTGTGAGAGTGTCAGTGATAAACTCCAGCTGAACCTTACTTTGTCTTTTGTACTGCCAATCTCCTCAACTCTAACATTGCACTCTTAGTCATCAATACGGAGAGGTTGATATTTTCACGAGTTTGTCAGCAGGCTTGACTGATGCTCTGGTATGCCTACAGTCATCCTCAAGGGAGGTGTTACACTTGGACATCCTGTACAACTCCACATACACTCACACACACACAAAGATTGCCTTATCTTTTTTAAAATCACATATGAATAAAAGAATACAGGCAGGCATGTATTGAATCTTAAAACGTAATCTTTCCCTTTGTCTCTCTGTTTTCCTCATAACACATGCACCGACAACACATTCGCTGGCAAAATTGACTTGCCACCTTCAATCAGACAAGGACCAAATGGATTTCTGCCAGTTTTACGCTGACATCATTCATAGATTTGGAAGAGGGGCGCGCTTTGAAGAGCAAGGGAGGGCAAGTTCTGTCTGACTCAAAATGCACTTTTGTTTCGGGAGCAGCTTTTTGATTCCAGCCCGTTCACAACCAAAATCTTTTTAATTTTTTTTTTTTTTTTTAGCTAGTGACTCTTACTTGTATTATCGATGCAAGCAGAGAGGGTATTAGACTTTGTTGGGGAGAGAGGTGTGACATCCATAATGTATTTCCTATTAGAGGGTGCCACGCATGGACACACCTGGCCACGTGTCACAGTGGGATGGACAGGAAGTGCATGAGAATAAATGATAGCAGAGGAATAAAGGTTGCCAAGTAACAGCACTTGGAGAGAGGGGTAAAGTAGGAGTCAAAGGAAATAGAAGAGATAGAATGTGTCGGGTTCAGGAAGCCATTGGACATTTAGTCCTTCGTGGAACACATGAAATCCACACATAAACCAGCTTTCATGGTGCAACGCAGCAGTTAAGCCAATTGCTTTGAACATTTAAATCCTCGCCTCTCACCTGTGCCACTTCCATCCTTATTTGCTCTTCGCTTCTGCATGCCTGTCTATCGTTCTCCTTTTTTTGACCCCGGATTAAGTCGGAGGGTCTCTTCTTAAATGTTAATTATTTTTGGTCCATATGCACGCAGCCATCACAAATTGATTGCGGTGTATTGCTGCAAGCACTTTCACTCCCTCCCTCTCATTCGCTCGCCTTCCGCTTGTGATTTTGCATTAGACAGACTCCATTTCCAATCAGGCTGTCATTAAGGTGCACCCCCGGGTGCATCTCAAACAAAAACAAGCACACCCTAAAACCGTTCCTGCATCATTTTTGTCTTACTCTGCTTCACTTTAGCCCTCTTTGCTTCACTCTTTCCTGTTTTTCCATCAATTCCTCATTCTCTTGTATTCACGTTCTAATTATACCATACATTGCCGTGTGTATTCCCTCATTAGCATTTTCGTTCATATGGTCTCTCCCCCCCTCCCCCCTTCATCATTCCCACCTTCTCCTTTATGTTATCTTCAGCGTCTGAATGCATTGCACTTTTTCGCAGCACATAAACAGACAGTGCCCTTGGGGAGGTGTTGGAGAGCTCTGTCTTTGTTTGTGCGCACCTCTAACTAACTCTCCATCTGCAGGCAGCCAAGCCCGCCAGTGCAAGACAGAGAGCTGGCTCAATCCCAAACTCCTTTCCAGTTGGACTCATTTCTTTACCTTAACCTCACAATGTCTCTCTCCTGCCAGGATAAGGCCCTCGCTCTCAGGCGAATGTCAGCCGTCGACAGTCACCAGTATCTGAAGACACCTGACCCAATGATTAATTGTCCTTAATAAAGGAGAATAAAAAAAAACTACTAAAGCCCAATCTGATTCAGCTTTCGGTGGGTGGATATTCGATCCTCTCCAAACTATATAAAGTGGGTGCTTTCATTTCCTAAAGATTCATCACTCCTCCACCCCGCTAGGGTTAGGGTGAAAGCTGAGGGTGAATGACCAAAAGCCCATACTCGGCATTTCGCCACAGCCTTCAAAGAAAGAAGAATTTGAGCAATAGTCTGAAAACAGAGTTTTCAGTCATGATTGCTGAGGGCTGTAACTCAAGCCATGAAAATTGTTTGATGTTGTTATGTAGTTTCAAAATGGATTCACATTCTCTCCAATATGAAACGTGAAGGTGTATTGACAACACAGATAGGAAGAAAATTACTGGGTTTCGGGATACGCTGCACGGTACTTACACGCATGGTGATTCACCATCAAAGGTGCACTATGCTAAATTTTCTATCTCCTTTGACTTTGATGGACAATCTCCTTATGGAGTGTGAAAAGAGGTTTTATCACTCACCATTATCGGGCTCAGATTTTCTGTCATGCTCGGTGTCGGTGAGAGACAGGGCAGAGTTGGCGCGGCTTGTCAGGCAGGAGCTCTGCTCCGACTTCAAACCACGCATCCACATGTGCTGTAGGCCATGGGCGGCTGAGGGTTCCACATCAGGCTCAGTGTCCACATCGGAACCGATGCCCAGGGAGTAGCCGCGGCTGTGGATGTGAGCGGTGGGTCCAGCGCATAATGCTTCCTCGTCGTCTTCTTGATGCTGCTGCTGTTGTTGCTGTTGGTGGACGTAGTCTGGACTCCTCAGCTGAGCAGCGTTGCAGAAATCTAAATCCAACGAAGGGAGATGGGGAGACAGATTGAGAACCTGAAGACGGCAAAGCCTCTAATAGTGGAGTGTGTTTGTTCTTTGCTTCAGCGGCTTTGCTGACCAGGTGTTCATCGATAGACAAAGCAAGCACGCACTGGGACACCATACTGGACCGACCTGTACCTGTAATATTAAAAATCACAGATTTAGGAGTGCCCCTCTCAATTATTTGGGATTAGTTATGAACAGAATTCCGCACAAAACCATTCCAGAATCTTGTAGAAACTCTACCAGACCAACTCCGTCTTTCCTGTCATTTGTATTTTTTTTAGTTGCTGCCTAGCGTCTGAAAGCTTTCTGTCAAAAGATTGGCATCATACATCGATTTCATAGATGATCTTTCAGAATTGTGCGTGGTCTATGTCTGACCTCAGTCATTTTTTTTTTTTTTTTGGATGAGTTGCCAAAAGAAAGGCTTTGGATACACTAAAGAGAATTCGTATGGGCGAAGGTTATAATATGATATGATATGACATGATACCTTTGTACAATTACGAGGACAGGTTTGAGTTTCAGAGGTCAAAATGCCAGCCTTGATTTTCCTGAACCATTTGCATTGCAGCCCTATACTGTTCTGACTACCTGATGTGTGTTATTGAACTTGAGATGTATTGAACTGCTGCTCAAACAGAGCACTGATCTCATCTATATTCTCCTTGGTGGGGTGAAGAGATCAGATAAAGATCAAACCTTATTAATATTGACTCAGACTGAGGGAAAAATTGAGCCTCGCATGCTTTCAGGTGTTAGAACGCCCTCCAATTCAAAGAATCATCCCGTCATCTGAGAACATCAGATAAACTGTGTTAGTTCTCCGGTTACACCTCAATTCAATTCAATTGAGATCTACTTATTTGATTATTTTTTTCATTTTTGAAGAAGCGGAAGAAGAATTTATATGCAGCGGAGTCAGTTGACTATCTTAACTGCTTTGGTTGTTTTTTTTTTTTTTAGAATTTACATGCGAAAGTAATGGAGTCAATGCAATTTAAAACAAATTTTGGCATTAAATGAAATCCAAGCCAATTCAACTGAAGCCATCTGGACTGCAGATGAAAGCCTGATTTCCAACTTCTGTGTGTAGTGCATCCAATAAATGTATCGTCCAAGATGGACGTGTGTATCCCACCCTCTGGATTTCCTCATGTATTCATCTAAGCAACTGCATTGCTGAAAATCACAAATGGTGTAGTTGCTGTAACTAGAAGGCAACAAAGTACAATAGATTAATAAACTATCACTATTGCACGAGGAAATACAGAAACTATTACCTGGCAGGATACAATTACAGAAAAGTATCTGGACAAAAACCAGCATTTTAGGCCTATTGACCACTGGGGTGACAGTCAGTGTGTCCTGCTGTCTCTTTTATATATATCCTTCCGGAATATATAAAAGGACGAGCAATTTTCATTGTATAGCTGCGAGTCACGGTGTCTGAAAAAGGAGCAAACGATTGTTTGTTGCTTTTCAGAAAACACATCAACAGTAGAGGCAAAATTTTGTGATTTGAAAATCAGAAAACAAAAAAGTTGCCTTAATTAGGTGTTTGGAGTCATTTCAATGAATTAGAAAAAAATGTTAATCAAAAAATAACAAAAACCTTGCATCCATCCATTTTCTGAACCGCTTCATCCTCACAAAGGTCGCGGGCATGCTGAAGCCTATCCCAGGAGTCTTCGGGCAGTAGGCGGGGGACACCCTGAACTGGCTGCCGGCCAATCGCAGGGCAGACAAAGACGGACAACCACTCACACACACAATCACACCTCGGCACAATTGAGAGTGTTCAATCAGCCTGCCATGCATGTTTTTGGAATGTGGGAGGAAACCTGAGTACCCGGAGAAAACCCACACAGGCACGGGGAGAACATGCAAACTCCAACATCATTTCATTGAAGTTCAGTCCATCTAACTGAGACAAGCGCATTTACAACTTGTTTGTTCAAGGGTGCAATTTCCGCAATGAATGTGTGGAGGACTTGTTCCACTTGATTATGTTTGATTCACTCACTTAAACCTCTCTAAACAGCACCATCTTGCTGTCCAGCTGCCATAATTTAAATGAAGGAAGCTGAAGTTGGTTTAAATATGACACACAGATCTGCTTAGGCCTCATTCAACACATGTTGCAATAAGCACATGAGCAATATTTATGTGAATGTTGTCTCCCCGCCAATCAGTGAACAAAGTTAATGGCACAAATGAAAATGTTATGATTAAATGTAAAAACCAGTGATGAATGAAATGAATATAGTTTACCAGATGTATTTCACAGAGAGCCCTCAAGAGTACTACTACTACTACGACTACCACTACTACTACTACTACTACTAGTACTACTACTTCTCATAATAACAAAAAAAATAAATAATAATAATAAGGATTGATTGATTGATTGATTAATTGAGTGACTTTTTTTTTTTGGAGCAGCCAGCACAAAAGTAAAATGTTTGTTTCTGCAAAATCAAACAACCGTGTGATACATTTCTACAAAAAGGAAAAAAAGAAAAAAAAAGACTTCCCCATGTTACCATGAGCAAGCGTATGCTGCTCAACATAAGTTTGGAAAGAACACTCCCACCCCCATCTGACATTGATATTAGAGGCCATACATACATACTAACTTTCAAATCCCTAATGGTTAACTTACACCTGTACCAGTCCTACTAATATAGACAATAGATTAAGAAAATTGATGCCTATTAAATTTGATTGAATAAACAAATTATTGGTGTGTGCTAGAAATTGCTCTATGTATAATCCTTAGTGCTTTTTACATTTAGGCAACGATGCAACGCCAGTCGATAGAATATTCTCACAAGAGTCTTGAGGATCACTAGGTGATTTATTTTATGTATTTATTTTTCTTTTTAACAAAAGTAACTTTTTAGTCAGCAGTGGTTTTCACCTTGGAACTCTGCCATGGAAGCCATTTTCACTTTTTCTTATAGTTGAGCCATGAACACAAACCTTAGCTTGTTTTGGGTTACTTTTTGACCTCCTGGATGAGTTAAGTCAGGATTTGACAAGTACACACGGCCAGCTACTGTAGCTTTGCCGGACTGGGTGAGGTTGTACTATTAAATTGACAACGACAACAACATCCAAAAGGTACATGTGACATCAGGAAATCGAAAAGGGAATAGAAAAGAAGGGCAGACTCATATGACAGTCAATGTGAATAATATGCTTTGGGAATTAGATGAAGAGGCTGTTCCCTGTCATCCATTAAAAATGTCACTGGAGGCGTTGCCCCCCTAAACAGTTGGTTACTTAGGCAGGCCATACTTTATATAACTCTGTTGCCAAACGATGAACAGATGTGCTCCATATCACCAGCTATCATTGACATTTAAAAGGCTGCTTTGGGGGCGTCGTTCGCACCTTACCGTATGATGTGATACACGGCATCGGTGTCATATCATATGGTAAGGTAATTACTTTCTTTTTCTCACTTTTTTTTTTTTTTTAATACAATGGAAAAGCAAAGAAACTTAAATTGACAAATGCTGGCACACATCCGTGATGACTGATGGCCATCGTGGGTGGTTATATTTTCACTAATATGACAAAATCCAAAGTGGGCGGTATTTGAAAGACGAAATTGAAGAAACTGCATGTCCAAATGGTCGGCTAATGTTGCCGGTTAGCATGGTGGGATGGTGTCGCAGGAAAGCAGGATGTTAGGGTGGCAGAGAGTGCATCTATTGATCACAGTGAGCCCTGCACAGCAGCACAGTCCTGATGAGGTACAGCTTCTCTCTTAACACCATACATGACCTGCATAAAGGCCATCCATCACAGCACGCACTGGCCCATTTCTCCTCCTGTCACCAGCAGGGAAGAAAGTGTGTATGCGTCAGCACTACCTCATGTGTGTCTGTGTCTGTGTGTGTAATGAAGGGTGATGTTCCACCCCAGGTGAGGCCAAAGAGGTTTGGGGCTGACCCAGTTTAGCTTTGGGAGGGAAATATCACCTCCGTGGAAGAGAGGTAGTAATTGGTTGCTCCCGACTGTCCTTCCGGCTCATTGTAGACTCTTAATAGGGAATTCACATAGGCCCTTTTAAAAAACTGAGTGTGCAAGTGTGTGGGGCACATGTGTGTATCTTTGTCCGCCTTTTGAGCCTATACATCCGGATTCTGTGAGGCTTTGAGGGCGCATTCACAGGTAAATACATACATACCCTGAGCATATGGGATACCTGGCTGAGCTTGGCTGTAGTTGTTCTGCCTTTCGCGGTGTGATCCAAGCGTGAGGCGTAGCTCGTGTGTGTAGTCAGGCAGGGTTTCACGTGAGGTGTAAGAGCGGTGGTGAGCGTGACCGTCCTCGCTCTCATCAGACGAACTGGTGTACGACATCTCCATTTCATGACGGCCCTTAGACAGCGGCTGGTAGGGTTTACTGTCCATCTCCTCCATGGCTTGAAGGGCATCCACTTAATCACTCAGCACAGCCACAATGCAGAATACGGAGTCTGTAAAAGGGGTGGTGAAAGGTGGATAGGGGTATGGTTGTGTCACGGTGAGTGAATGGACAGGACAATGGAGAGGAAAATGAAAGGAAGCGGGGGATTGAATAGGCATGGTAGGAGAAAAATAGCACAAGAAGTGTATTATTGTAACGATACTGCAGCATTTGCTCATTTCTAATACACCAGACATTCATAAATGGTATTCAATATTTCACACCGATGGTTAGTTCCAAATCAATATACTCCGAATGGACTGTGATTATGTCTGAAAGCATTTGATGAAATACTGGTCCAAATACGGTACAATAGTTTTCCTTCACGTGACTTCACTTTTCATCTTATTCTTCAGCAGTCAACTATTGACAAGTTTCAGATGAATCAAAACTGTGCTGCTGGCTCTGTTTTATTAATAAACACAGTGACTGATTCACCATTTCTTTATGTCTTGATGAAACACTAAATTCAGACAACTTAAGTGGTTTCTCCATTCAATTAGTCCTGTTCCACTTCCTACAACAGTGAAATAAATCTCTTACAATGTGCTTTTAACGCCAAAACTAATTATTTATTCGGACAATTATTTGCAACATAGAATATGTGCTATGTAGATATTACTTCGTTCATTATTATCAGTTTCGATGGCATTTGAAAAAAAAGTGATGGGATGTGTGCTACAAACCAGAAGGAAACCCTGTACCATCTTTTTTTAATATACAGTAATCATGTTCTGATCTACGTGAAGAAAAAAAAAATCATTAGTCAGCTAATGTAAAATTTCACAACAGAAATTATGTATTATAGAGTGCAACAATTAATCGATTAATCAGCAACTAATAGATTAACAAATGAATCATTTTTTGTTTGTTTGTTTTTAAGAATTGATTAATCATTTAGAAAACGTCTGATTTAAAATTGCCCAAATCCTTGGAATTGTTTTTTGGAGTAAATGGTTGGAAATTAAAATGTGTTTATTTTATATCCGATTCATCGATCGATTTACAAAATACATAAGTCATTTTAATAAAGCTCAATGATGAATTTCTGCTTCTACTCTTATATTAATGCAAAATGCATACACCATCCATGCACGGCAGCACGCTGCCACGAAGACACATGCACAGGAGAAATAAATAGCTGGTTTATATTTTTTTGTATCTGTAGTTTTTTATTGCTAATTCTTTAGTATATTATTATTTTACTTTTTTTAATTATTTGCTTTGTTGTTGTTCTTTTAAATTAGATTTAAAGTTGAGTTCCAGACATTTAAAGAATTATTGTCACACCAACACACGAATTTCCACAATATGGCACAGAATCTGATACCCGAGGTCTCATATTAGCCAAGGAAGTCAATCAACACCGGCTAATCGTGATTTTTTTTTCCCCCTTAATTGCCCTGCCCCAGCCTTTTATATTTTTTTCATGATTGATGTTGTATACATTTCAGGCAAAGCAATTGAATAATAAACTGTCAGCATACCCCTGGACTACAAGCTGACAGGAACAGGAAGTCTGACAGGCACCTACTACCAAAATAAATAATTTCCCAAAAGTCACTACAAGGAGTTATGCATTTATTTATATATGAATTTATTGAAATTGCATTTGCAATTTTTAAAGTAATTCCCACTCTAAAAGAAAACGATCTTCCAAAGTGACAACATGTGGTGAGGCATGGCTTCTCTTGTCCCTAATGCAAAGTCACCACTGATTAGCTTTCAGGTACGATGCCCAGCCCGAAGTATTTCCGGCAGATATAAAGCTTCTAAATGGAGCTTGAGAGGGTCATTGCTCATAGAGACAAAGTGCTATGGCATTGACCTCTTCAGGGAGTCCTGTAGTCCATATATCAAAGGCATTAGAGTGTGCCTGCTCAATACCTCAGAGATATGCAGCAAAAGGTGATCACTACCAGTTTGATACTATCCAAGAATACGGCTGACCTTTCTACCAATATAAAATTGCTTTTATTCCTCAAGAAAGACTCTTTCTCTTGCCTTCACGCTTACCCTTCCAATCCCACATACACGTGTCCACACAAAAAAGTTAGGAATACACTCATGCATGCAAAAAATGTTTGCTGACCCGGTAATGAAGTCAAACCTCTCTTACCCGTTCACCCTACACACACTCTCATGTTACTAGACGTTATTGTAACGAGTGATGGTTAAAAGCTCTGCAGTGCACTTGTTTGTCACCCTCTTGAGAACCAAAAGCATACAGTGTAAGAATGCCTTTAGTGGGGATGATCACATATCGGGCCTCAAGGTTTGCATGTGCAAAAATGGGCACAAACTCGATTGCGCAAAACAGCAGCAGAATTCATCTGGGCATATTCTCTCATGTGCACGTACGTGGCAGAGGCGCACTCTGAGTGGGGGCAAGCCTAAAACGTGGGCGCTCCCTGCCAAATCTAGCTTTCCGTACATTCTCTCCATTCTCTCTAACGCAGCGAACTTGTGATGCATTTCAGAGGCTGTCGTAAGTCCAGCGCCCCGTGAAGGTGAAACATATTGCACTTGATGGTTGGATTCAGTTACAACAGACGTCGCGACATGTTGTAAGCTCCTTCCAGAAAGCTATCAAATGTATGCAGAGAGACAGACAAAAAATATTTTACAAAGCTGATGACATTGGTGCTGTGAGTCCGCTATAACAGCGTTTTAGTTGTGATATTTACTGGCGAAGAATATCCATGCATTTTTGGAAAATATCGGGCTTCCACTATTACAACTGCGACGTTCAATGTAATGCTGCAATGGTAAGTTAGATTCGTTTTTATATTTCTCTCATCAAAATATGTCCACATTAATTTAACTCGCCCAGGCCGTGGCGCAAGGAAGGTTGGGCATGTTTTGGAATTTTTAGCAGCTCGGCGTGGAATTAAATTGTCTTTTGGGTTTCTTAATATTTGAAGCTTCAAATAGACACAAGTGTAACAGAACATTCGTGTGCACTGTGAGAAACTCCAAATGAAAAATAGATATGGGAAGATTCTTATGCAGACAGGGATAAGGGGTGACTATTGACAAAAAAAAAGAAGAAGAAACAAGGAGGTACTTCTGTGTTGAGCAAACTTATCAGTCAAGGTGGTGTTCTGGCTTCACAGAGAATCCTCATGTACAAGTGAAAAGCAGGTGGTCACAATAAACAACAAAAATTCACTTTCGCTTTGTTCAGCGAAAAGGTCGGTGCTGATGGACATTCTGCGGCTGTATGGATGTATGGATTGAGGAGCCGACGATGAGAAGAAAGGAGCGTCAGCGCAGAGCGCCGATGCGTATGTGGAAACGGGAGTCGCGGCTTGGAATTGAAGCGGATTTACATGGGACAGGAGAACAGAGCCAATCTCTCTTTTTCGTTAATGGATGCTACAGCTTCTTGTTGCTTTCAAGCTTAGCTTGTAGCAGACGTGTGCACATTGCAGCATGACGTCTTTGATCCACTGGTGAAAAGGACACTTTGATTCGCTCCTCTTTCATCTATAACTGCTTCAAACAACAAAATGTATGCAGGAAAGTGGTTAAGATTGCACAAATGTCTGTGTCTCATGTGTTGTTTTGTATTATTTTGTCAATTTTTGTTAACTTTTCTTTTGATGGCGGCGCGGACACCCGCAGCGGCTCCTCTTGTTTTATGTTGAGAGGGAAGAAATTTCATCTGTGCTGTACAGCATATTTGACAATAAAGTTGTATCCAATCCAATCCAAAATGTAATACTGATGCTTGCTAAATAGTTATTTTCCATAACATTCAGGTAGGGCAGAACTTATTTGTAGAATAGCAAACAGATGCCTTTTTTACCGATGGTACTCCATGGATGCAATCATTCATAAGCACAATATTCTGATTAAAGTGCCTTTATATTATATTTGTATTTGTTCATTTTATACAGGGTACTGAAACATGCTCTGAAAGTTTTGGCGCGTTAGCAGGCGTGGTATATCGGTCCCAACTGGCCTACGACACATAAGCAATGTAAGATATTTACATATTGCTTTATTTTTCTTCCGGATTGCTTTGATGACATTCACAAGACTCGAGAAAAGTCCACGTTCAATGATTTCAAGCCAGTCTTTTCAATGTAACTTATTCACAAAATTTGCCAGTTATGTTCTTCAATTGAAATTCTATGGACTTGGATCAATCAATAACTCATTTGGACATAGTTTCTCCATATTGCCACACTTACGGTGTTCTCCCAAATTCTTCACGTGGAAAATTACTCGCCAACAAATTTTTACCTATTTTTTTCAATCAGAGATGCAAGTCAACTTTTAGAGAGGATTTTTTTTTTTGCGCTGATTCCAAATCTGCCCTTGGGTTTTTACTCAAACACATCCGATGTTTATAATAATAAACATAGTATAACAAGAGTAATATAATATGCAATATGCAATTTTTTTTTTGTTAATACAGTGTCAAAAATACATTTAGGGATACATAAAACCATCTCTGATTTGCTGTTGACCACAGTTAAAAAGGGGGTCTCCATCACTTTTACACATCACCAATCTTATTGCAGCACGAGCAACACATCCATCACCGATGTGCATAATCTGTTAGAGTGGCTATTTGGCATCTAAGTAAACCAGGCCCACTGCATCACAATTATCTTTGCCTCACAGAACTATACTACTGTATAGGATGTAATCCTTGAGTCCTTTGCTTTTTATTGGCAAGACGTGTGAAATCAAAGCCCACTATTATATTTGCTGCTTTGTCAGGATGGGATTGACTAGTGCCACTTTCTCTTTGGTACGGCGAGGAGTGAGTATATGTTACCCGTGAGCTCTGAGCTTGCTGCAGGCACTGACTGCCATTTGTCTCCGCAGAGGCCCTCTGTCCCGTTTCATGTGTGTCACACACTTACATGCACGAATGAAGGCATGCCATCATGCACCCTGCGAGCTGCCTTGTTCGCCATCATTTGCGGTATGCATACAGAAGCAGCACACATATATTGATGTGCAATATTTTCTTTTCTTTCAAACACAATTTCC